AGGGGGAGGGGAGCGCTGACTCACCCGCCGCGTCACTGCTGGTGTGTGGGGGGGGGCTCGGCTTGGCGCAACATGTCACATTATATTAGCTTTCATACTATTAACTTCCCCTTGCTCTCTCCATCAGTGGCGTGCCATGGATGGAAGCAAGGGAAGCACTGCTTCCGTAGTTAAGAAATGAAAAAAAAGAAGACATGTGTAAATAATTCAATTTGAATTAGCATGTGTTCCTGTTCAAGGCCACATGCTTCCTCCTCCTCCCTTCCCCTGCTTGATGGGATGGACCAAGTTTCCTTTGTTAATCTCCGTAAGAATTCGTCGCAAATGAAGTGGGTAAGGAAGCAACTTTCGGTTTGCTGGCTAATGCCTGTGATATGGAAGCAAAGGAGTGTGTTCTTTCGATCGTTATGTGAAAATTAACTTTTATGTTTGATTTCAGTCTTGTTGGGTGTTATAGGTAACATTAAGTTTCATTAAAATATTGTTAAGTGCATATTTATAAGAAGCTATCCGCTTTTAAGGGAAGCAAGTCTGATAGTGTGGTAAGATGGGCAGGGGAGAGAGTAGACTACATGCACAGGCCACAGCTAAAATGAATGCTGGCAGACATGACTGTGACTGTGCAATCGAAAGCCTTTAAAAATGAGGGTTTAATAGCAGGATCTTTTCTGAAAAGAAAATCATTATAGAAAGAGGATGACTGACACGAGAGTTGCCAGAACTTAAAGCACAAACCAAATTATGTGTGAGGAAATTTAATTTGGAACAGTATTCTAAAACAGAATGGCTATCTGGTTGCCGTAATATAGCAAAATTGTTTGGGTTTGGTGATATCAACAACCTTCATAAAGCATTGAAATGTCATGAGAACTCTCAGTCTCACATTATTTCAACAGTGCAACTTGTTATGTTCAGGAAATCTCAAACTGACTGTCATCTTGACAATCAAAATGCCTGATGATACTACATAAAGAAACGCTTGATTGATATCATCTGGCAACTTGGCCTGCATGGTCATGACGAAAGTGTGGATTCTATTGACTGAGGTAATTATGTGGAATTAGTTCACTTGTTGAGGAAATATGATCATAAACTCAATGTTCACCTTGAGAACAGTACAGTATTTACAGGTTTATCGAACAGAATGCAAAACGACCTTATTGACTCAATAAGTGACACATTTTGGTGAGTTGATTGCTATCAGTTTGTTTATTAGATACCACTGCTTCCCTAACCAAAAATGGTACTGCACGCCACTGCTCTCCATACTCCTTTCCAGTAATGTGTTATAAAATGATACATCAAGGCTGGAATTCAACACCATTCCCCATGAATAGCATAAAATCATAAACCATCTCCTTTATATAGTATTCTATATTTCAAATATCCACATCAAAATTATCATCATAAATATTCACAAAACAGACAAAATACACTCAAACAACACTTCTTGTCATTACCCACTAAGTAACTTACATTCACGCAACATGCTAGACAATTCATTGTTACGGCAACCAAAAATTGGCGTCCATCGTTTATCTTCCGTCAAAATTGCAACACTTTTTACATTCTACACTTCAACTCTACATGTTTCGGCCCCAAACAGCCATCTTCAGGTGTTTTTACATTACAGATATTTTAGTAAAACTGTGTTAAAAACTGTTACACTGTTTTAATTCGTGTCAAAATCACATGCTGTAGTCTTCTTTTTAAGTAAAACGAGATGAAATCCTTTAAAATTTCTGTTGCATATTATTTCATCTCACCCGGGGTGTCATTTTTGTAAATGTATCAAGTTGTTTTTCTCGGCAGCTTGCCCCTCATGTTCGTGGTCTACTTTCAGTTTTTGATTGTCATATGCTCCTGGTTTGTGTGTGCGTCCTCCACAGCGTGTTGTGTTCTTTACTAGTTAACAGTAACTAGTAGTAAAGATAACATCACACCCTGTGGAGGAAGCACACACAAACCAGGAGCATATGGCAACCAAAAACTGAAAGTAGACCACGAATGTGAGGGGCAAGCTGCCAAGAAAGACACCTTGATACATTTACAAAAATGACAACACCCTGGGTGAGGTGAAATAATATGCAACAGAAATTTTAAAGGATTTTATCTCATTTTATTTAAAAAGAAGACTACAGCGTGATTTTAACACAAATTAAAACAGTGTAGCAGTTTTTAACAGTTTCAATAAAATACACTCAACTCTTGATTATCCAGGGGCGGATTAACCGGGGCTTTTTTGAGGCTTATATGTTGTTTAATATTCATTCATTTTTGTTTCACATGGTGAGTTGTAACACTATTTTCACACTAGTGTGAACCGAGCTCTGCATTTTTTGGTCCCGTTATGCTAACATAATGTTCTAGGGTAGGGGTGAAAGAATGCAAGGATTTGTGGAAAGTTTCAAGGACAGATACATTGCCCCAATTAGCCTCTTTGTATCGATCTTCAAGTGCGTTAGCAAAATGTCAGGGTGTAAAAGGAAGCTTGTTGTGTTAAGTATTCAACAGAAACTCGTATGAGTTGGGCTTCGAAATGTTAAGCAGTGATGAAATCGTAAGGTCAGTCGGGGTGCAGCCAGAAGAGCGGGAAGAAAGTGAGAATGAGGAAGAGGTGGACAGTGTTGCTAGTAAGAAAATATCACATGGTGCTGCTCTAAATCATTTGGAATCCTTACTAGACTATCTCGAGAGTGAAGAGAACAGTTTATTAAGTGACAAGCTAATATTACGTAGGCTTCGTACGGATATCCATAAAAAGGAAAATGCTTTGAAAAAGCAAACGACAATATTAATTTTTTTAAGTGTTAAGTGTGAATATTCGTAAAAAGTGTTGGATGTTGTTGACCACAGTGACTGAAATAACTAATTCATACTTCAGTGTAATGTAAAAAAAGTATTAAATAGGCCATGAAATGACATAAAAATGAGGTTGAATAAATTTAAATACAGGTAGGCCTATAGTATTATGAAGGTACAGTATTACAGTACTACTTTTAATAAAACTTGTCTTAACTGGGTTTTCAATTAATTGGGTTTTCCATCCCCACCATTATCCCGGATAATCGAGTTGAGTGTATCTGTAACATAAAAACACCAGAAGATGGCCGTTTGAGGCCGAAACATGTAGTGTTGAAGGGTAGAATATAAAAAGTGTTGCAATTTTAATGGAAGATAAACAATGGACACTAATTTGAACAACTGCAATGGGATGCTGAAATACAGAACCAAAAATTGCATAATGACAACGATACATCTCTCACTTGAAACACTTTCTATACACAAAAAATAATTATGACACATAAAAAAAGCTTACATCACTGTTCACTTACATTGAGTGGAATTTCAACAGTCCAGGGGGCACCACCAATTTTACAGCACATCTGAATAGCCACTTTTGTAGCTATGGACATCAGTCCCTTGGCAGTCAAGCTCTTGGCCGCTATCACCTGAGTTGGCACTGAAGCATGATATAGTTACTAACCCCTTGCAGCCTAATGTCATGCACAGCACATAAGAGAGAGGCAGATTTGTCTCCAAATTCAAACTGTAACTGATGATGTATTGGGGAGTATCTTGAATATACGGAAGTCCAAATCAAAACCTAGGTGCTCTTACAAACTCTGAACAAAATGGATGCTTACAGTAAAACAACAAGAATTCCAACACCCTTGCGTAATGAGGACATGAACCTATTTGGTTTATAAATTCTAACAAAATCTTAACAAACCAATTACAACAATTTTAATATATTACAACAGCCACTGCAGCTGTAAAAACTTTAGATTTTATACCCAATTGTATATTATCAACATTACATGTATATTTTAATGCTCGGAACATATATTGTAATAGTAGTTTCCAACTGTATTGATGTCTCTCTGATGATGATCTCTAAAGGCCTGAACATATACGGGCATGAAAAAATGAAATAAGAAAAATCTTCACCGGTCACACTGGACGGAACTGTTTAACTTTTTATCTATATAGAAAACTAGGCTTCAGGGGGTCAAAGTTCTGGTCTATTCACAAACAATACATGAAAAAGTAGACTCCATAATTAGCACAGCAATTTATCCAATAGAATACTGCTTATCATGTAAATAAAACTTGGAGCAGCAGTATACATAGTTTTTGAAAACAAGTTAACATATTTATGCACACAGGTGAACTTTCTTTATCTTCTGTAGGCTATAAACATGGCAAGACTGTAGTAGCAAGATACACTTGTAACAAATACCCCATTTTTGATCACAATTAACAGCAACTGCAAATTACCATTTCTAGCCAATAAATAAATGGCACAAAAGTTGCAATTATACAGTCAAATAGGAACACTTACTCACAGAACATTCATACAACTATAGAATATGTATTTGAGGGGGAGGATAGTGGGACTTGGTTTAAAGTATAAATTGCTAAGAGTATGAAATTAGTCCTACATTTACCAGACTGTAGCCAGACTTCTATTACCTTTATTTTTATTCAGAAATATGGTGAAGTGGAGCGAATATGTTCACAAAAATAAAAAGTACTGTTTCTGGGATGGGGAACTCTCTGGCATATCTCTGAAATTGTGTCCACAAATCTAATGAGATTATTCCCAAAACAGAATCATTATATTCCTATCACAACCATGTCACACATATTTAATTCAGTTCTGTACTTCTGAAGCCATTCAGTTGCTTAGGAGAGAATTTCATTTGAATAGGTAGTCTCACTGCACCAAATGACCAGATTTTCATCTGTCTTGCTGACATCAATATATGAAACCTAATCTTCAGCAAATACAGTGGAACCTCGCTTAACGAGCATAATTTGTTCCAGAATCTTACTTGTAATGCGAAACACTCATTAAGCAAAACAATTTTTCCCATATAAATTAATGTAAAATATGATAATGCGTTTCATGCCGAAAAAATACTAAAAAAAATTTTATGTATAACGTTCATTCAAAGAAAATTATATATACATTGTTAAGGAGTGTGAATCATCTTCATCTTTTCTTCTATGTGGAATGAACCAACCCAGAATGCGAATTAAATTTGCAGAAAACAAACAAAAAAAAAATCGAAATATTTGGTTTATTATTTATGATACATATCTAATTCTTTTTTACTAGAGAGCTGTCTAGAGACATTTGTTTTTGCTGATGCTTCAAAATTTGGTGAAAATGCGACAAGCATTATCATTAAAAAAAATTGTAGCGCGCATAGCCACTGCCTTATTAGGGTGATGCTTCTCAATGTACGATGCAACAGTTTCCCATGCTTTCAGCATTTCTCTTATTGTGCCAGAAGATTGTTGCTTTGCTGTTACCTCCTCCTCCTCCTGACAAACTCTCCTCCACAACTTCTTGCTGTGAAAAACAATGCAACTCCATAAGCTCTTCGGTGGTCAGCTCTTGGCTGTGCTCTTCCACAAGCTCAGCGATATCATTGTTATCCACCTCCAGCCCCATGATCTTGACCAAAGACACAATCTCGTTGACTACAGGCTCCACGGGTACTATCTCGGGCCCCTCAAAGTCACATTCGACAACAAACTCTGGCCAAAGCTTCTTCCAAGCAGAAGTGAGGGTTCTCCTGGTAACCCCTTCCCACACCTTTTCGATCATCTTGAGGCAGACAACGATGCGGAAGTGATATTTTCAAAACTCTCTGAGAGTGAGATTGGTCCCTTCAGTCACCTCAAAACAACACTCGAAGAGTGCTTTAGTGTACAGCTCCTTAAAGTTAGAAATAACCTACTGGTCCATAGGCTGGAGTAACGGAGTGGTGTTGGGAGGCAGAAACTGGATCTTGATGAATTTAAATTCTTCAAGGAGGTCATCTTGTAGATCTGGAGGATGGGCAGGAGCGTTGTCCATAACAAGCAAGACATGGAGTGGCAAATTCATCTCAAGCAAATATTTTCTCACAGAAGGACCAAACACTTCATTGATCCATTCAGTAAAAAGGTCACGTGTCACCCAAGCCTTGTTGTTGGACCTCCACATCACATTTAGCCTGCTCTTCTGGACTTTACACTTCTTGAAGGCTCGTGGAGTTTCTGAATGGTAAACAAGCAGCGGTTTAATTTTCAAATCGCCACTTGCATTGGCGCAAAATAGCAGCGTGAGATGGTCTTTCATTGGCTTATGGCCGAGCAATACATTATCCTCTGCTGTTATATAGGTTCGCTTTGGCATCTTTTCCCAGAAGAGACCCGCCTCGTCACAATTAAAAACCTGTTGCGGCAGGTAACGCTCAGAATCTATGAGCTTCTTGAAGTCTCCGATGAAGTTCTCTGCTGCCTTTGTGTTGGAGCTTGCTGCTTCACAGTGCCTTACAATGCTGTGGATGCTGGTTCTTCTCTTAAACTTCTCAAACCACCCACGGCTTCCCTTAAATGCTTCTTCTTTGGCCGTTGATGATCCTGGCATCTTCTTAACGAGGTTGGTGAAAATCACTTTCTCCTTCTCACAAATGATGTTCTCATTAATAGTGTCACCTTGCAATTGCTTTTCGTTTATTCATATGGGGAGCAACCTTTCAACATCGTCAAGAATACATAACTGTTGCGGAGATATTCTTGTCACTCCCTTTGAAGCATCTATCTCCTTAATCTTGTCCTTGTTCTTGAGGATAGTACAAATCATTCATGTAGACCAATTTTATGTGCGTGCTAGATCAGCCACGCTCACACCTTGTTCTCACTTTTCAATGATTTTATGTTTCATTTCTACGGTTATTTTATTCTCTTATGGCTGTCTTTTTGCGGCTCTTTCTTCGGGGACATTTTTGCAAGGGTTATTAAACTTTGCACACAAAAAAAAATCACAAATAATATGTCTGAACACAAGTTTCGAAAAATGTATGATCACAAGCAACACTAAGAAGCTAGCAGAATGAGTGCTAAACAGACTGATGTAGCAAGCGCGCAATCTGGGACTTCCCCTCTCATCACTCGTTATGCGAAACGTTGCTCATTAAGCGAGGCATTTTTTTACAATTTCTTTTGCTCGTTATGAGAGGTGCTCGTTAAGCGAGGTTCCGCTGTAAACGTCTTCACCGTCCAAATGCAAAATTTTTATTCTTGTCTCCTATCCTATGTACACATGTTTTGACCTCACAAGCCCATCCTCAGGCTTAATTACTCTACTAAAATTGTTGTACTGCCAGTTCCATTTAGTCCTGTGTAGAATGTGCTGTTACTTTTCAATAAAAATCCTCTGAAATCCATAAAATACTGGTACCTGCTGATTGCCAACTGTGTACAATATGTTTCTTTTTGATGGTATGTTGGTGTTGTACTTTGTTGAGTTATCCTGACTGTGTGTGTGTAGTGTAGTGCAACTACAGTGGAATGACATTGTAACAATTTAGTAACTACACCAGAGGATGGCCTTGTGAGGCTGAAACATGTTGCAGAAGTGTATGTAGGATAGACAAGGATAAAAACGTTACATTTGGACAGTGAAAACGCTTTATCCACTGAAGATTAGTAATACAACAGGATATTGAAGTACAATAATATGAAATCTGAGTTTCAGGTCCCTAATGGTTTATGTTCCCAATTACATATGCAGCAAAACAGAAATAGCTCACCTGCTCTGTCCACACAACACTTCTTTTTGATCGCAGAATAGCAGTCCAAGCGATTACTTGAAACAATGCACATTATCAGCTGGGGGTCTATGCTTGAGATTACTTCTTCCAATGCCCGAACATATGATACTATAAAATCATTTCCAATATCATGGCTAGAAGAAAAAAAAAGCACATTAATATTCTACTTTGATCAACACCTCTGTTCCAAAAATACCAATTCCCAACAAACATAAAACATGACAAAAAACTTTATTAACAGTGTTCCAGGGATTATTGTATGGTGTAAATGTAAAGCATGGAGACATGTGGGCAATGAATTGACACTGTTTTGTGCTTGGAATGTAATTTATACCTGCAAGTCCCAGGACTGATGGTACAAAAATTAATACACTGTCACTCACACACACTGCCTTCAAAATAATCTGCTCTTGCACTAAACTGTGACTTTTCTGAATGTCATTGAAGCAGCCTTGAAAGATATTTTCTGGACTTTTGTGCAGTTCTGCTGTTGTGATGGCTTACTTACATCACTGCCAGCATAATGAAGGCTTTCTTGTAGTTCTTTAAGTTGTGGGCATAAGGAAAAATTACACAGAAACAGTAACCAAAATGTCACTCATAGAAGATTCAGTGTGTGGCCTTGCAATGTCATGCAGAACAAACACCTTTCCTGATGCTCACGATTTTGGATGTCAGCTAATTTTCAAGCATAAATTCCTTGTTCACTCTACCTTCACAGCTGCAATAAATGAATCAATGTTGCTTTTGTTTATACCATCTGAGCACAAACTTCTTTGAGGCTAGTAAGCCAGTACCTCTCCACTTTGTTTTCATGATCTCAGGGTCGTAAAGCAGGTAACAGGCTCCTTCTTCCCAAATAACAAAGGGATGTGTCATCAGTGCCTTCCATTTCCAAAAGGTTAGCACAAATATCAGAACAAGTCTCCATTTTTCCATGTAAGCTTGTTGTACCACAGTAAACAGTGAGGTGTGTAGCTGGTTGAGGCACTATGTTACAGCCTGGAAGATCACAGGTTTGATGCCCAATAAGGTCACTGGATTTTTCAACTGACCTAATTTTGCAAGCTGTATTATGGCCGTGGGATCAACTCAGCCTCTAATAGAAATGAGTACCAGGAATCTTCCTGGGGGTAAAGGGCAGCCTCAGCATAAGGTTGACAACTTCATCACCATCTGTGAGCCAACTGTCTAGAAAAATGTGGAAGCCTCGATGTCTCACAACCCTATGGGCCTCCAGTCAGTTACAGTGACAGCTTTACCTTTTTTTTATCTTTGCCATCCTTTACATAACTGGCTGAACCACTGTATGCATGAACAAGACACTGTTGCGTCACCATACACTTGCGGTAACAGGATGTAAGCCTTGGTAGTACTTTTCCTCAGGGTAAATGACAATGACATGCACCTGTACACATCCACTGATACCCTCAATCAGGATATGAATGAACACGTATAAATTTGCAAGGAGATGCAGTGCTGACAACACAGGTCAGGTCCTGGAACTTCGCAATATTTTCGGATTCATCCCCACAAAATGGAAAACTTCTACTACACTTAATGTAGCCTCTGTGCTAGCAGAGGCTAGCCACTGTCTTATAGCTGCAATGACACAATCGTTGTCTGGAAAATGTTGCCCACGTAGTCCATCTTTCATAGGCCCAAATCTGAAGGTGCTAAATTGGGGCTATAAGGTGGATGCGGTAGGACAGTCAAGCCAAACTTTGCATTGTGCGCGGTGGTCGCAAAACTGGTATGGGGTCTAGCTTTATCGTCTTGCAAGCAAAAGGTTGTCTGCTTCTCTGGCCTGACTCGGGAAATGCGGGCTTTCAGCTTAGTCAGCGTCATCTTGTAACATTCAGAATTGACAGTCTCACCAGGCTCCAGGAAATCCAACAAAATTAAACCCCACCTATCCCAAAAGATCATGCACATCACTTTCCCTGCCGATGGCTGTCTTAAACTTCTCTTTTCTTGGGGAATCTGGATGTCGCCACTCTATGGACTGTCTTTTGGATTCCAGCTCGTAGTGCTGACACCACGTCTCATCTCCGGTGATGATGCTGTCCAGAAACCTGTCACCTTCAGCCTCAAACTGGTGCAACAGGTCCTGACAGACTTCCATTCGATGAGTTTTGTGGTCCTGTGTAAGCATCCGCAGGACCCACATGGAACAAACTTTGCTATAATCCAGCTTCCCCAACATCGTTTCCAATGCATTACAGCCGATATTAAGCCGTGCACACAGTTCCATGGTTGTTATCTGCCGATCTGTACAGATGAGCTGATCGACGCACTGTTCATTGTGAGGAGTGGCAGCTGAGCAGGGATGCCCAGGGCGTGGCTTGTCACGCACTTCACTTTTGCCACTGTTGAAACACACTACCCACCACCTTGCTGTGCTGACATCCACTGTATCATATCCGTACACCTTTAGCAAGTGTTGATGGATGTCAATGGGTGCAATTTATTCGGCAGTGAGAAATTCAACAACACATCTCTGTTTCGTACATACTTCTGTCAGACGCCATTTTGGTAGACTGCTCTGCTGTCACTATCTGTCTCACGACAACCAAACTAACAGTACACTGGTGGCAAGGTTCAACCTTTACTACAACATCACCAACATCCAGCTCAGATGTTACATATTAACACAAAAAATAGGAGGCATTATATACGGAACGCCCTTCATATGTAAATATATGCTTCATGTGGCTTAGTTGCTAACTTTTATTCAAATGAGCATTACTGGCAACACAACATTCTCGTACCTCAACCCACAAGAGTGGATGAAGAGCCTCAACACAAACATAAAAGCATAGCTGCTAATATATCACAATAAATAAAAAAGAAAACACTTTCACTATTCACAACAAACCTACAAACAACATCTGACACTTTCTAGAACATAAATGCACAGGTAATTTGCATAACTCTTAATGCACACTTAACTCCCATAAAGATCCTCAAGTAAACAGGGACTGACCATAATCAGACAGTATCACAAATTAAATTTTATCTACTAAAGTCCAGTTACTCCTACCCACAAAGCAGCAGTCATACTGAGCGTGCTCTCATTTCTCATAGAAATGGTAATAAACAAATCCACGGTTTAGCAGTGTCCCCTGGCACATGCAAGCTTAAAGTAAAAGAAAGCACTAATGGTGAAAACTACATAAACCAGAAATACATGGATGTTCGATCTTAATACAACTGACAAATTGCAACAAACCACATTGACGCCATTCCTCTCTGATGTTTGTGCCACACATGCAATGTTTTACTTTACTGACATCACAGTACTTAACACAGGCACATGTGATATTGCTGAACTTTCGTAACCTTTGTGCCATTAAACAAATTCAGATCAGACAGTATGACTCATATGTAGTTTATGTGTTACAGAAAAGTTATTAATTTTCTCCAGTTTTACCAGCAGCCATGAGAAAACAACATTCACTGTTTATCTTTTAAGAAATTTATACATTTCCAGGTTGTAAATTGTCCATGATGAGTACTTCTTATAGCATCAACTTTACAAGCTGTTGAGAATTCCTGTTACAACAGACATCCACTGCATTACAGTCTTAAGGAAAAGCACACATTATTGTAGCAACTTTTATACTTGGTATTTACTAATACTTGTAAGTCAGAGTAAAAGGTCTAGTACTTTAAAATGCAGATATAAAGTGAACCTATTGAAAAAAGCTTTGATAAATTATGTCATGCATGGAATCAGAATAAATTCATGCTATGCACATTTCTTCATCCTAAGCATATGTAATGACAATTTCAAATTTACAGTTACTATGTATTCCAAAGGACTATCATATGTGGGTCATCAAGGAAATACATATGAGGGGCGTTCAAGTTCTAAGGTCTCCGATTTTTTTCCTCAGGACTGGGAGCAGATAGACACATGCGGTTTAATTTAAAATATGTGTGTACTCTTTGTGAATGCGTGACAGAGATGGCAGCACTGTACGGCACACAGAACTCTAGTGGTGACGACGAGAGTGAGGAGTGTTTTTGATACTTAAGATGGCGATGTTTACGTTACCAGAAAAGTGAGTAACCATTCATTTTCTCCACTTGTGTGATGCGACACCCATTGAAATTCATCGTCAGTTGAGTCAGATGTGTGGTGATGGTGTCATGAATGTGAACAATGTACGTTCGTGGGTGCAATAGTTCAAAGAAGGCCGAACATCGTGTGACAACGAACCAAAACAATCTCGGCCTCGCACCAGCCGGTCTGACAACATGGTCGAGCGGGTTGAGAAAGTTGTTTTGGAGGATCGCTGATTGAATGTGGAAAACACTGCCTCCAAAGTTAGCATTTCTGTGGGATCTGTGAACACAATCCTGCATGAAGACCTGTGAATGCGGAAAGTGTCCTCCAGGTGGGTGCCACGAATGCTGGCAGACGACCACAAGGCTGCGCACATGGCAATTTGCCAGGCGATGTTGACACGTGATGAAAGCATGAATGGGACTTTCTTTTCATCAACTGTGACAATGGATGAGACATGGATGCCGTTTTTCAATCCTGAAACAAAGCGCCAGTCAGCTCAATGGAAGCACACAGACTCAACACCACCAAAAAAATTTTGGGTAAGCGCCAGTGCTGAAAAAATGATGGTGGCCATGTTTTGGGACAGCGATGGCGTAATCCTTACTCATTGCGTTCCAAAGGGCACTACGGTGACAGGTGCATCCTACCAAGATGTTTTGAAGAACAAGCTCCTTCCAGCACTGCGAGAAAAACGGCCGGAAAAGGCTGCTCGTGTGCTCTTTCACCAGGACAATGCACCAGCACATCGGGCATACACGACGCAGCCGTTTCTTCATGAAAACAACCTTGAAGTGGTTCCTCATGCTCCCTATTCATCTGACCTGGCTCCTAGCGATTTTTGGCTTTTCCCAACGATGAAAGACACTCTCTGTGGTCGCACATTCACCAGTCGTGCCGCTATTGCATCAGCGATTTTACAGTGGTCAAAACAGACTCCTACAGAAACGTTCACAGCGGCCATGGAATCATGGTGTCGACGTTGTGAAAAATGTGTACTGCTGCAGGGAGATTACGTTGAAAAGTGACAGAAGTTTCAAATTTTTTGTATGATTATTGTGTGAGAAAAAAAATCAGAGACTTACAACTTGAACGCACAATGTATTTTGGCTGGTGCATGCTAACTGAAGGACAAAGGACAAAGTCTGTGAAGGAATATTATCTCTAAGAAAATTATCAACAAAAGTCTTCCTCAAAACCTGAAATGGAGAGACACATCTAACAATGCCTCACAGCCAGATAAATATGATGCAGCACTGTCAAGAAGCAAAACACCAAATCCCCTTTCTAATTTTAAAAGTTACAGCACAAAGTAACTCACAAATGTGGATGCGGGACGACAAACCGCATACCCTGAGCAGCACGAATCATAGTGGTTACAAAGCTCTGAGTATCTCTTTTCAGTCTGTTTGGACAGATCACAACCCAATTCTTGAGTGTAGGAATCACCAACAATGGGTTACCTGGGAATGAAAAATGTATACCAATAACACAATCTAAATTTTAAAATAAATAACTTTGGCCACTTCCAAATCCACAAGATTTTATATAGTTTCCTTCCTACTTCTTTCTCTTTAAGTCACTTCTTCACAATGTAGAAACTCGAACAAAGCCATCCATCCTGTTAACAACTAAGAACTGGCTGATAACATACAAGCCATTTTCATGCCACCAAAAATGACCTTGTTGAAACAAATGGAGCAATAACTAACAATATTAAAAGCTTTATCTTAGGGAGACCAAGTATTATTATGAATAAGAGACAAGAGACACTGATAACCTTCATGTGTGTCTGCTCACTTCCACAATGCCATAACACTTATAACAAATGTCTACTGGTCAAAGGAATACATTCCATTTTTCTCTACAAATTTGATACCTTTATGCTCCAATTAATATTTTGTGAATCATACTTAAAGAGGGCTGCAGAAAAGCATACAGGTCTTTCAAACTGTCTGTTGTCTTATTTTAACCAAAACTAGAATCAGTCAACAAACTTCAGTAAAAATGCAAAATATAAAGTTTCAAGAAAACTGGCTTAGCAAATGTGCACTCTTTTTGCAACTCTCCATAGCACACCTTCCAAAAAGAATAAACTCTGCCACACCCATAGAATATTTTTAAACCTTAGTGCCAAGCTGTGATATACTTCAAAGTCTGGATGGAAATGGCTTTGAAGATTATATATTTCAACCATTTCCAGATATCTATTAGAGCATGCATTTTTATGAAGCATACTATCTCCTGAATTGTAAAGCTATGTAGTTCAGAGAAATGTATCACCTCCAACTTAGGGGTCAAACAGCCAATAAATAAACCAGCATGAAAGAGGCACTCTGCTTGACACCTGCTCCCTGCTGACTTATTCTTCAACCCCAAAGATGGGGCAACATGTTCCTCTGTATTGTTGATGGATGTCTACTAATCTACACATGTCCAGATGAAAGGTACCCAAATTAAAATAATCATATCTCAGAAAACCTTTATCATACACATTTATGGGTTACACCATTACAAAGGGAAACTATCAAAGTTTTTTCTGAGTATATAACTTTCTCAATAAATTTCAATGTGGGCTTGCTTGGTGGCACTACAAATATCCAGATGATATTCAACTTCATTCCATGTTGCTTGAAGCAGGTTTGGTGTTCCCATAGGCACAGTGTTCCTTACATGGTCTTTCATGTGTTGACGGTCGATCTTAACCTGGTAGACAATGTTCCTCATGTAACCCCACAAGAAAAAATCCCATGGGGTTAATTTTGGTGACGCAGGAGGCCAAGCGATTGGTCCACAACTGCCAATCCATCTCTCTGTCCAGGTGATTCCTAATATGGTGGCACCCCATCTTGTTGGAGGAAAGTTTGAGGTGGTAATTGGGGCAGTACATATTGTTCCAGCATGACCAAGTACCAAGATGTGGTCACAGTCTTTTACCTCTGGAGCCGCCTCTCTCCAACTTACATGTGACCCGTGAATTTTGACTGCCCCAAATCCTGCAGCTGTACCTGTTTACAACTCCACTGACATAAAATGTCGCCTTGTCCAAAAAGCACACTTGGCAGAGGAAATCAGGTGACATGTCATTCTTTCTAGAATGTCCACAGTGAAGTATGTGCGTGCTAGTTGGTCACTCCGTTTTAGGACATGAATCATTTGTATCTTGTAAGCTCTTAGGCGAAGCCTTTTGTGTAGTACATCGTGCACTGCTGCACGTGAAATTTGTGCATAACTGTAAGCTAGTAGCATGAATTTATTTATCAAGACTTCACTGGAATGCCTCTCTAATGTAACTGACATTTTCTTCAGAGGTCCATATGTCTTTCCAGGAGATTTTACATACAAGAGAGTACTTGTTGTCCTCAGTTTGTTGTCCCAGAACCAAATGCTTTCCTATGTAGGAGGCTGACATCCATACTGCATTCTAAAACAACAGTGGACAGCCATAAGAGATTGCAACTCTGCTAGCCACACCACACATTGAACCTGTTCCTGTGGTGTCAACATCGTTACTGGGCTCTCTGAAGGTCACCAGTTGGCCCATGTGTACAAGTCAGGCATGACAAAAACATTCAGAGTTTTCCTTTCTGATGAGATAAACCGGGACACATGTACAACAATTAGTTCCTGATATATATATATTTTTTTGACACCTTCCATCTGGACATGTGTACATGGCATTACAATAAAAATCATAATCTTCACAGTCACTGCTTTGAGAACCTCAACTACAACATAACATTTTTATGGATTTTAAGAATTCTCATTACATCAAGGTGGTGCTGTATTTAGGAATGACTGCACTCACAAAAATATTAAAATCAGACTAAATTTGGCGAATGCTTGCTACCATTCTATTCAGGATCTTTCATCTGTCTCCAGACTATGCACATAAAGATTCTGCCAGTTTTGTATGGTTCTCAAGCATGGTCATTTACATTTGGGGAAGAACAAAGACTAGTGGTGCTCGAAAACAAAGTGCTGAGAATATCTGAACTCGAGAAGGAAGTAATAAGGCTCTGGAGAAGATTGCTTAGTGATGAGCTTCATAATTTGTACTCCTTGCTAAATATCAGTAGGATGGTATAACAGAGAATGAGATTGGAAGGACATGCAGCAAGGGATAAGAAAAATGGCATTTTGGTCAGACAATTTGAAGGAAGTGGACCATTCTGAAGACTCTTACATGTACTGGAGGATAATGTTAAAATAGATATGAAAGAAACAGGATGGGAGGGTACTGACACAATTCATTAGATCTAAAAGTCTGTCAAAATGCAATATAATTGTTGTGCTTTGGACATTATCAATCATCCTGCTTTTTAATTAAAAGACAATAAAATCAGTGTACTTTCAGGTCAGAGATGCCTAGCAGATATAGCAGTGTGTGTATAACATCAAACATGATTGTGGCAGATGTTACATCGGCGAAACAAGCAGACCTTTAGAAATACAGTATGCACTAAAAATTTCAGTACTGAAACTCACGCATGTGCGTTTGTCGACGGGGCATAGATCCAGCCACACGTGTTCCCAGTAATGAAAAGGAAGTTGTATTGTGCAGTTGTTGGAAATGGGTCTCTCGACGGAGGAAAAAGTATTCATAGTCAAGTATTATTTCCGCTCATATGAAAGCGGTCGCCAGACAACTTGCTTCCTTGGTTTTGAGTGGCCAGATGTTATCATCCAGAAACCACTACATAGTACACGTGTGATGATATGGTGTGCCGTCTCAGCACACAGTATATTAGGCCCCTATTTCACTGAGGATGATGAAGGCAATGCTCTTACCATCACACAAGAACACCACAGGGACATGGTGATCGGTCTAATTCTTCAGCATTTTAGAAGGTTCTGTCGTGCAAGGGGACTTCACATGAATAGACAGTGGTATCAACAGGACGTCTTTTCATTTCAGTATTGTAAGTTTTGGTGCATACTGTACATATTAAGGAACAAAAATTCAACCTGCCCCATGCCTGCTCAAAAAACACAACTGGCCCAATGTGCATATGAAGGCCACAAAATATATTGCATAAAATAGAAAGTCTTGCAGACTGAACCAAACACCAGACACAGGAAATACAAGGAATTTGGCCACACGTCTCTGTGAGACCATCCAAGCAGTCCACCCATCTGAACTCCCATTATTGTAGTAGAACTGTCTCTTTTGTGATAATTCATATTCTGAAAGTGCACTAAGTTTACAGACACTGAACGTTAAATAACATATGGACATATATGCTAGCCCTCATGTGTGTGGAGATTTTAAATGTTTTTCATGTCTTAACTCTCACTGCTGGCTTATGCTGTGGTTGAGTCATATATCCTATCCTGTGCTGGTGCTGGTGTCTGGATAGGGATTAGCTCTATCGACTGGGCCAAAGTGACTAGGTTTTTATCTGAAGAGACAGAATCCAGTCTCTGAAACGTTTCTTTTAAATAAAAAAAAAGAGGATGACGACAATGTCCAGCATTCATCAGGTTTAGAACAGGAACCAGTAGCATAACAATGAAACATCACATTCCATAAAGGCAGAATTGACTATCGCAGCAACATCATTCTCTCAAGGTATTTGCATCACTGAGTTAGTTCGTTAGTCAGTATTGCTTACTGCGCAATTCCTTCGTCCAGTCCGTCTGGTACCCAGGTTCATACTTCACTGCTTGACCTGAATGTCCTCCTTGCACTATCTTCTCTTGCGGAAGAATACGGCCTTGGAATTCCACTAGCTTTGTAGCTAGCTTCATATTCCACTCCTCCATTTCTTTTTGTACCTGAGAGAAATATCAATCACATAATACTGTTGCAATATCAACCCCACAAAGTGAAAAAGACCCTGCTCCATTACCATATTGAAACATCATTTATGAGACTCACATCAACTGGCTATTACTGGTACTGACACAAACATTTACTGGCCCATATGGGATTACCTTGTGAAAATCACTTTCCTTATGACACAGAGAAAGCACTGGACTGTAATTTAAAAACTTCTTTTCGCCAGTTACAAATTGCCATTTTGCTCAATACCACACAAATTCCCCAAAATTCTAGAGCATGTGACTCACATACCTTTTATTCAGTCTGTTCTCTGAAGACATATGATCTGTTTTTTACTTCAGTACTAGTTTTACATGTCAACAGTGATGGATGGAAAGCACCGTGAGAGACAAATATAATGAAAGACTGAGATCAAACAACTTATCTGGTGACAAAACCAGAAAATTACATTTTTAAACACATAGTAAGTACAAGAGTATGCAGTAGAATGGGATGGACACCTTAAAAACTTCAGGGTGCACTTGCAAGACTGAACTTTGAATCTGCAGGTCCTTTAGTCAAAACATCCCCATAGCGGGACACTGTCTTGATGTGCATTCATAACACAGCTGTCACCACCTGGTGCTGTCAACAGCATTATTGTCTATCCTTGCCCAGTTCTTAAGACACTCACATCCTCCAAGGAACTCTCCCAGACAACTATCTGCCAGCAAACTCCCAGTGGTGACTTAACATGCTGGTTGGTTGGTTGGTTGGTTTCCAATGGCTGCATTTGGGATCTTTTAACCCATTTTGTTTCTTGCTTCCCAATAGAGAGGACTCAAGTTCTTGCTTTGTTTCATCTTGAAGAAGTCTGCACTTTTCTTTTGGGAAGCTCTGCCAGGTTGTTGCTCATTTTGCACCACACAGGGGACACTTAAAGTCTCCATTATCCCATACAACACCAATACCACATCATCACTGGCTAGCAGATGGAAGACAGCTGTGCTCTAGAATACCACAATGACATCGCTTCTTGGTCTAGTTGCGGTACATGGTGCTTCAAATCCATTGGTGTCATTACCTCATAGGATGTCCAGCCCCAGAATGAATTCAGTTGTGACCTTTGCAACAAATATCCAAAATCGTACCACATTCCACTCCAGTGAATGTCACAACTCCCGCATCCAAGACAGGGAGGATCTTCAGAGATTCCATCTGCAAAATACTATGATGCCAGGCTTGCCAAGGGCCCCATATGCCCCTGTGTCAACAGACACAAGGCATAGGATTGTCTCATACACCTTGGCAATTAGGCTGCTGACATTCCTCTTGGCAAGTACGCTGCATGTCACACAAGTGGATGAGCATGCTTCCAGCAGACCCTTCTTCACATCAGCAATTATTTGTTTACTGAGTCCTCACAGGCCTGCTCGTCATATCTGTCATCAGTCTCTGCTGAGATGACTATGTCCCCACACTACCAGAAACAGGTCTTTCGGTCCCACAACACTCAGTTGCCAACAACCTTGTTCCCATGAAGGCCCTATCCCTTACTTCCCACAGCCTTGCTGGTGGTTCAATTGCTGCCTCTTGAGCATCCTGCTTCAACACCTAGTTGTAGGCTTTCTTGAGAGATCTCTCACTGCACATGCTCTACTCTGCTTGCTGCCTACTTCATGGTGGCTTCTTGCTTGACTTACTCTTTGAGCCTGACATGAAAGTAATACATTCCTCTGAAATGCTTGTAAACAGGACTTAGTGACAAGGTGTGGGTAATAGTACAATTCCTGTGCATAAAATTGCAGTACAGGTGTTACAAGACAACCTGACCTGCTTCACCTCTCTATGCACTGTTCTACCAAGTTGGCTTGTACACCTGTGCAACCCAACCCCCGCCCACCAAAAATTTATTCTTAGTCTACATGGTGATGGAACAGTCTGGACACTAAAACCATGCTGAATGATGCTAAAGCACCAATTCATACGTTTCTGTGGATTCCTGTCCTGCAATGACAATCCCCCCCCCTTCTGAGACTGCTGAAAGTGAAAACTTATTCTCTTGCTTTTTCTCCATTCACGTACCTAGTAAGTCAAGAATGCTGTATTGAGAGAAGTTTACACAAATTCAGAATAAAGTATTGAAACTGAGAAACAGTGCTATTCTTACCAAAATTAAACTGGCAGTCCATATAAAAAGTTCACTAAAACAAAATATTTATTATAGGTTACACTCATTGCATCAATTCCATTGTTTATGACATAAAAGATGGAGATTTTATATGGGACTTTTAATAGAAAGTTGACAGCAAAAAGCATCACACCAGCATCACAGTCCAACTACAATAATAAGTGATAACTCACTTGGGGCTGGTCTCTGAGGCGCTTGTTGAAACCATTCAGCCTCTCTATCCTATTTCCAGGATTAACACGTGTGTACTGGGAAAGATCTTTCATCAAAAGGAAATTTCCTCTCATAACTTCTGTCAGACCTGTCATCCTGCACAGCTCAGGAACAAGGTAAATAAATTCAGGCTTCCCATCCCGCAGCTCTCTCGGCTTTGAACGAGAGATCAGCAATGGCTGATCCAAACACTCTATTTTCTGCTGGTGTTTCTGTAACATTCAAAACAGGCATGTACTATCACTTTTCATTTTGCCTTCAGCGTGTAGTATGAAACTTCTGTAATAAACATTTATTTTACATAATTCCTCCTTTATAAGAAAAATCATGGATCATATCATTTACAATAACTACAATCCTCCTTTATGCTCAGCCAACTGCATTCATAGATCCACCCTATACTGTGTATCGCCCTTAATTAAGATTCATACATTGTTCTATAAACTGTAGGCTTACAACTTAATTCAACTAATTTTGCATATATTTTCTGATTCTTGTTGTTAATTTGGAGGTATTTCTAAATCATGTTGCCAACAAAACAAGCAAGCACACTTCGACCAAACCTGCCAACATAACGTCAAATTAGAGATCACTTTTCTCCCACTCCCTTTAAAATAAACAAATGCAAATACGTATGTTGTACCAAAAGTCATGAGCAACTTTTTTTTTCATGCAACCTGGGAAGAGCAGACGAAAGAGAGTATGGTGGTAGGTTGAACCAGCTGTTGTGTTAACCTTGAGTGTCTTGTGACGTCAGTAGCTTGCATCACGTGACCAGTATCACTCCTAACAAAATGGCCAACAACGTCGTTTCGCCAGCGTGCTGTTATCAAATGTCTTGTGAAAGAGGAAATCCCTGCTGCAAAAATTCACCAGAGACTTCAGCGTGCTTATGGAAGTGTGTGCATGGGTGCGAGCAGTGTTCGAAAATGGGTGAAACATTTTAAAGATGGGAACACCAGCATCGAAGATGAGCCTCGGAGCGGTCATCCTCGAACAGCCTCAACTGAATGCAACAAGGAAAGAGTGGATGAGATCATTCAAGATGACAGGCGTGTGAGTGTGGACACAATAGCCCGAAAACTTGGAACAGAACACAGTGCAGTATAGGAGATGACTGAAAGCTTGGGCTATAGAAAAGTTTGTATTCGTTGGGTCCCACGGTTATTGACCAAAGACCACAAAGGTCAGTTAAAAGCCATCACCTCAGAACTGCTGCAGAAATATCGACACGAAGGCGATGATATTTTGCTCTGTATTGTGACAGGTGACAGAAAGCTGGTTTCACCATTTTGGGCCTGAAATGAAAGGCAGAGTATGGAATGGCACCATTTGCAGTCTCCATCAAAAAAGAAGGCAAAGACAGTGCCATCAGCTGCGAAGGTGATGGGCACAGTCTTCTGGGATGCAGAGGGGTTTATTCTGGCCAAATTCCTGGAACGTGGACAAGTCATCAATGTTGCTCGTTATGTCCAGACGCTGCACAAGCTCCATCGTGCATTGAGCGATAAATTTCCGGGACGAAACATCATCATCCTGCATGACAACGCTCGCCCCATGCCGCTTGCCTCACATTGGAAGTAACTGCAAAGATGGGGTGGGAAGTTCTTCCACACCCCTCCTATAGCCCTGATCTGGCACCCTCTGACTACCATCTTTTTGGATTTGTGAAGGCTCAGCTGCATGGACAACGTTTTGAGACAAGGGAGGCAATTCAGAAAGCAGTGCGTCAGTGTCTTCGGATGGCTGGAACGGAATTTTACAGAAGGGGAATTTTCAAACTCCCAGAATGCTGGGAGAAATGTGTACAAAGAAGTGGCGATTATGTGGAAAAATAAAGAAAGGTCTGTAGATTGAGGTGGCGTATTTGGTTTGTCAATAATAAAGCATGTTACTTTACAAAAAATTGTTGCTCATGACTTTCAGTATGACCCTTGTATATGCTGAAGTATGATAACCAATCACCTGAAAAAGAGAAAAGAGTCAATTCCTGAAACATTTCATGAGTCGGAATACTGAAGGGCTCTTGGGGCCACCCAGCCTCCTATCCAATGGATACCCAGGGCTCTTTCTCCAGGGGTAATGCGGCCAGGGCGTGAAGTTGACCACCTCCATCTATTGCTGAGATCAAGAAAGGTGGAGCTATACCTCCACTCCTCCATATATCCTCATAGCATAGTACTTAACTAATTAAGCACATGGACAACTTTACCTTTTTTATCATGTATGCTAACATGTCGTAGATGAAAGAAAATGTTCAGCATAATTGAAGATTACAAAAGAATATATGTGTACCTTTCAGAAATTGCAAAAGGCATATTATTCCCACTTCCAGCTGATCGATTATATTAAAATGTAAGAAAACACCTAATATCAACTTTTGGGGCCACTAGCTTCTGATCTCAAGACTACAAACTTGAGCCACAAGCTGAAACTAAATGTGATGATTAAAAACAAAACGAGGCTTACTCAAAATACACTCACCTGAAGGTAATAATCTACATATGAGATATTTTCGCCACTGCGAAGTTTAAATGTGTTCCTTGGGGAAAGCTCAAAATCCACATCATCCACACGGTATGTCCGATTGTTATACCCAGTCAGGACAATACAGCCAAGGACTGCTTTAGTGAACACATTCTGTAAGTAGGAAATTGGATTATGAACAATGTGAAATATGAATTTCACTAAAAGAATAATGTATTTACATATGCGCAGGTTACAAATGCTTTACATACAAAAGTTGATACTTTCTCCAATACATTTTCATCAACTTCTGTAGCTCTCACTTAAAACTGTGAAGTTTATAACTCATGAACTTATGACATCCAGAAAGTTTCTCCTATTACACATGTTGGCCCAAGTCATAACTGGGTTTTCATCATCTGCAGTGTCATGAAAAACAGTGTGCACCTGGTATAGGTTATCAAGTTAAAATGAACAAAACTTAGGACTAGCAAATACTGTACTATGACACAACAATGACATTTAGAAAATTAATCTAAATGACTTCATGAGGAATGGAATCCACGACCTTCCATCTTGTAGCATACTACCTCAACCAACTATGCTAGTGTGCCCCTTTAAGAATATAGAACCAAAAACAGCATAGATAAAGAAAAAGTAGGGAGCTATTTATTGGGCCTTTATCCATAACCCCATTTTCATATAACTGGAACAATGAATAACATTCAAAAACAATAGCCATAAAAGTTGTCACCACTGCCAAATAATTTCATACTTCCAAAAGTCAGCAATAAATAGGAAAACTAAAGCTGCTATATGAAAATAAAGCTGAAAAATAAATTTACCATGGGCTAACACCTTTGTTTCTGTTATCAAAATATACTGTTACCAACAACTGCTGCCACCACTGCTACTATTATACAGAGTGGGGCGCAGAAACTTCATTTTTTTGAAGGAGAATAAAAGAAAAATTATTGCTGATAGACAAGATTTATGTTTAGCTAATGAAAGAACATGCTTTAAAGTTTTAAATCATGTAGTTTTAAACAAAATATCTTGAAGGTGGTGGCCACCGTTCTCTATGCACTGATGCAACCGTTTTCTGAAGTTGCCCTCTGCATGTCCCAACATGTGCACTGGAATTTTGGCTACTTCCTACCAAATAACATTCTTCAGCTGAAGCAGGTTTGTGGGGCGATGTTTAAAAACCTCTGCCTTGAGGTATCCCCATTAAAAAAATCACAGGGCATTAGATCAAGTGAGTGCGCTGCCCACGGGATGTCACCTCAAAGTGAGATGAGCCGTCCGAGGAACTTTGCCCTCAAAACTGTCATCGAAGCTCAGGCTGTGTGGGCCATGGCACCATCCTGTTGGAACCAGACATTTCCTAGATGCATTTCTTCGAGAGCCGGTTCGAAAAAAGTTTTTAATCATGTCCATGTACCACTATGAATTGACAGTAACTGCATGATTGTCTTCTTAAAAAAATATGGGCCAATTACTCCAACTCTCGACAATGCACACCATACTGTCACCTCATCACTGTGAAGTGGCCTCTCATGGAGGTCTCTGGGATTGTTACCACTCCAATTGCATAGTCTGCTTGTTGACATATCCGGATAGGTGAAAATGTGCCTCATCACTAAAGAAAACAAGTGTGTCAGGGGGTAAAGTTTCCAATAACGTTTCGCACACCGTTATTCAGTTCTGGAAATCACGTGGTGACAATTCTTGCACAACAACCATCTTATAGAGATGGAAATAAAGATGTTCGTGAAGAATTCGGCACATTAAACGATTGGATATGTCTAGGGAGACTGCATGTTTGCGAGCAGAGCATCTTGGAAATCTCAAATTCGACTGTCGAACTGCCTCCACATTTTCTGGCGTCATAACGGTTCGTTGTCATCCTGATATTTTTTTACCACACTCCCAGTTGTCCTGAAGTTTTCTACCCACAAAACAATTGATTTCCAGTTGGGAACCAGACCTCTGGGCTTAATTCCGAAGTGAGTACGGAATGCACGCTGCACCGCCACATAGGAATGGTTGTTCGAAAAATAGGCTTCGACAGCAAATGCACGCTGCTCACTTGTCCACCTCATGTTTCCTACTGAGGGGTATTAGACAGAAACTTCTGTGACTGCTGCGTTCACCAAGACTATCCCCACTTTTCTGCGACCTCCCCTCCCTTCACAAAAAGGAAGTTTCTGCGTCCCACCCTGTATTATATTACAGAGTTTATTTACAATTTTAAATATAGGTAGCATATACAAGCGTGACTTCAGATGTGTTTTGCAATCATATATATATACAGAAGGAGGTTCATAACATAACTCTCTATTTAGGGAGAAGAAATCAACAAGGTCTTAACCTTACACAGACACTCTAGTCATTGTCATGCATGAAAACTTTTATTTCCTGAATACCAAACATATCATGGTATTGGACTGTGCATCATTATACATCAGACTTATTCCTGTGTATGAACGAAAGTTCTATACACAAATGGAATCTCAGCATGTACATAATTGACAGCTGGACATTATAATATTGTAACAGAAGGAGAATAGTCGCTGCAAGGAGTAGCCGAAATAATAGGACGCAGAAAGCCATCCGTTGAAGAAAAGGAACGGCGGTGCACCATTAGGCTATTCGGGACGAACAGCTTTAAGGAGGGAGCGGTGTGACGTGTTGTGCTATGGAGGACACCCCCTCCCTCGCCAGCGATGACGTAATGTGGGATGCCGCCGTTGCTACTCAGCAGTAAACAACTCCAGACAGCGTTGCTAGGCTGTCGGCAAACAAGGCATCAGACAACAGTGGTGCCTATTACGTAACTGTTTTCTGTGTTGTCCATAACAGGGCTAAATAAGGAGCAGCGAAGACTATTCAAGCTAGTTAGAAGTTAGCCGGCAGTGAGTCAGTCAACCAGTCAGTTGTAGTCAAGCCTTCGCAGGCCAAGTTATTGTAATACTGCAGATAGCAGTAGCTGTGAGATTGTAAACTGTGTGATTGTATGAGCAAGTGTGAAATAAAATTCACTATATCCAATAAGGCGTGAAGTTATTTCTCGCATTATACACCCAACACGTGACAATTTGGAGTGTGTGAGCTGGAGGAATACAGTTGGAATCTAGCAGCAGTCGCGGAAAGAAGAACCGGACACGTGTGATAATCAGTGATAGTTTGTGATAACTGAGAAGTAATTGGGAGTGTGTAACACAGTGACACGTATATAGCTTCCGTACTGTGAATACGTGTAGACTACTGAGGACAGAGTGAACAGATTATTGTGAATAGGGTTATAAAGTGTGAAAATCCGCAACAGTGTGAAGAGATTATTGCGAATAGGGTTATAAAGTGTGAAACCCCGGAACAGTGTTATAATCAATTGTAGTTACGACTTGTAGGTTGTTAAATAAACCAATTAACAATCTGAACGGTGTCTTCAGTAACTAAACACTTTACAATATTCATGGCTGGTGTTCACAGCCAATATCATGAACCTGGTTTCCAAGCAGGCACAACAAATCAAAAATAATTCTCAGAAATGCGCACTTCAATGGGCAACAATCTAAAAGTAGAGGAATTTCTTTATATAGGGTTCTTATGTCAATATTTTCAGCTGTATGTTTATATCATTAAATATAAAAATCCACATCTACTTTATTGGAAATTTTTACCACATAAATTGGTGGGCACTGTAGTCCATGAGTATACTTCCAGCCTCATTTTGTAAATCAACAAGACTCACCACCACTAAACCAGACATAAAAAACCCACCCGGTAATTTTGTTCTCCACGATGTAGACACTCTGTCAATAAGTCCAGGATAGTATCCTGTCGCATAACTTTGTGTGTGATTTCACAGCACATCAGTATGTCAGCCTCATGCTGACGGATCGATGTCAGATAGCCAGGCCAAAGTTCCAACTTGTGTTTTGCTACAACAATCTGAAACAACCCAAGGACTTCTGGTAAAATTATGAAAAAAAAACAATCACAATAATAATCCTGTAAAACAGGAGTGAAAACTATATATTAAATAAACAAAACCATTACACACTTCACAGGGATGACCTAGCAAATAAAAGTTCTAGTGAATAAGCCTCTTTTGAAACAATTACGAGGTTCGATCGATAAGTACCCGTGTTAGGAATAAAGATATAAGTTTTTCACAATTTCTTTTTTATTTTTCAACATAATCTCCTTTGAGGTCGATACACTTTTCCCAACGTTTCTGCCATTTCTTTAACCCCTCCAAAAAAATACGATTTGTCAGACTCTTCAAACTACGCTTCTGTCTCGGCGATAACCTCCTCGTTCTGAGCTGAATTTTTTTCCCCTGAGCCATGTTTTCATGTTGGGGAACAGAAAAAAGTCGCAGGGAGCCAGGTCGGGTGAGTACGGTGGGTGCAGCAGCAATTCGTAGCACAGTTCATGCAATTTGGCTACGACAATTCCGGATGAATGTGTTGGTGCATTATCGTGGTGAAACAGCACTTTTTTCTTAGCCAAATGGGGCCGTGTCTCCTTCGATTTCTTATCGAATCGGTCCAATAATTCACTGTAGTACTGCCCCGTGATCGTTCTTCCTTTCTACAAAAAGTCCACAAGGATTATTCCCTTCGAATCCCCAAAAATCGTGGCCATGACCTTTCCGGCCGATCGGACCGTCTTTGCCTTCTTCGGAGCAGATTCACCCGGAAGAATCCACTGTTTTGACTGTCGCTTGGTCTCTGGCATATAATAATGTATCCAGGTTCCATCAACGGTGATGACTCGATGCAAAAACTCCTGCGAATTTCGCTTAAAGAGGTCCAAACACTGCTTCGACATTGATAGCCGTATCCGCTTGTTGTCCACCATGAGCAATCGCGGCACCCATCGGGCCGACACCTTTCTCATACTTAAGTTATCATGTAAAATACTGATTGCCGTTCCGTACGACACACCTACGGCCTCTGCTACTTCGCGCACTTTAGTTCGGCGATCAATGAGAATCTTGTCTTGGACCTTTTCAACGATTTCCTCGGTAACGACGTCTGCCGGGCGGCCTGGCCGCTCCTCATCAAAAACAGATGTACGACCACATTTAAATTCATTGAACCAATATCTCACGGTTGTCATAGATGGTGAAGGGTCCCCATAGATGGCATCCAACTTCGCTTTTATTTCTTCGCATGTTTTTCCATCCAAAAATAAAAAGCGAATTACGGATCGATATTGCACTTTTTCCATTGTATTGAGAAAGACGAAACACGTCTGATGCAACTGGCTGCCAAATAAAAAGTAACGTATGAATCAGTCTGAAATTCAGTATGGTGTCATTTGACAGATGGCAGTACACGACGGTAATGTCAACTTCCCTCAGCAACGCCACCTGTCTTCAAACACGGGTACTTATTGATCGACCCTCGTATATTCCAAACAGCTCTTGGTAGTACCTTGTTCCTAGACCACATAATTCAGTAAAGAAGCCCAGTGTAGAACTACTGTGTCAATGGATCAAGACCACTGTAACAAATCTCTCCAAAAGTAACAACAGTAAAAGGATTTAAAGTAGTATTGTATGTTTGATAAAATGGATGGTAGAGGACAGGAAAAATTTGGAAATGCTGGCTAGAAACATAGTGTGAGCAGAAGATATGGACAGAAAATGAGAACTGTGAAGCTTCATGCTAAGAGAGACAACAAGAATGATGAACAGAGGAATAATGGTGAAGATGAATATAGGCTTGTGAGTTCAAGAGAGAAATTAACTAAGATATGTCAAGTGACATGTTTTCAAACATTTATTTTCATTTCCATGTTTGTAATATGAAACTACTTCATATAATTGCTTTTTATATGATGATATATTTCCTAGGGCTATCTTACATTCAGAAAAAATACAGTAGTACACTTTTGTGCATTGTGGATAAATGGCTGTTTTTTTAAATTCTGATGACAGTTAAAAAAATTAAGTCTGCTAAAGGAAATTCTCTCTTATTTACATTCTATTAATCTTCCTAATTCCCATATCAAACTGAAAAATACTCACACATGCCTATAAAGCCACTTTCAGCATTCCAGTGATTATACATTCCTACATAATTACATAAACCATCTTCAAATTTTAAATTCAAAATCTGATGGAAACTGATTTGCATATTACACAATTCTTAAGAGACAGATACTATGCACAAAATGTGAAAGGCATATCAATAATTTATTCTAGTAAATCATTTCACTATGCTATATGAGGCAGAGAATCCATGTTACAAGATTTGAAAAATATGTAGAAAGATGCAATACCTTTGCTTTTGCATCAAAGAAGTTGCGCCCTACAAGCTCCAGTTCCAGATGGGAAAGAGCCTTCCGCATAAGGATATTGAAGAACTGTAAGTAGTGGAAATCTCCTTCTTTCATATCACCAACTAAACCCACCATGATGCGAACTTTTGTTTCATCTGATGCCCGGATGGAAAATAATTCAATTTTCTGAAATACAGGTAATCTCATTATGCAGTGCAAAAAAGTAACATTGATATAATTAACCTCTATCATTTGTGGGTCACACATGGTGCATATGAATGTCCAGCTAGACTAGTGTCACACTGCTTACAATACAAAAGATTGAAATCCACTATTCCAAGATGGTAACGAATAGGTAGCCCATCATGATGATGATACACATGTTACAATCAATGCATAACCTTTGAGAAGTTTGTCGGCTGCTTCTGTACCTTCTAACAGAATGCTGCAATATGAAAATTGACCTTTAAGTGACGGCCCTTTAAATTCCAGTAATGGCAGCGGGACGGATTTGATTTAAATACCCGCAATTTTAAAGCAATAAAAACTGTAATCATTTCCTAAAATTGCTGATTTCTACAATTTTTGTGATAGACGAACCACATAAACGCTGTTTTTTTTTTCTAGAAAGCATATAGAATCAGATATTGTAATTTAGAGACTTTATAAAATGTGTAAAAATTTTTAGACTGATTCCAAGTATAAAATTCCCAAATTTGTCGTCTGTCTACAAGAATCCATATAGTTCTCTAACTAAGAATGCTGTATGTAGATGTGGCAACACGGCGGATGGTTATGAAGATGGTTATGTTTAGTCTTGCATGTGTCGAAGCATATACACGTACCTTCTTTGGTATGCAGAGATGTGGGCGTGTATATCTCCATTTATAAGAACGTTGATTGTTTATACGCAACAAGTTCTCTGTACTGACCAGGCTTGGTTAGTTTATCACAACTCTCAAGGCCAAGCACAGCCAAGCAGTGTCATAGAGCTTCAAAGTTTCACAGCGAGAACAGTGATATTGTCAGCTCACCATGGCGTCATGTCGTTTGGAAGATTCAGACATTTTTCAACTCATAAATGACTCCGAATCAGATTGTTTTACCGACAATTCTGAGAGTGGCGTTGAGGAAAGTGATTCAGAAATGGATTTCGACGAAAACCCATCATCTTCGTCGGCAACCTGGGGACCACCACACCAGCGTGGCAAGAGGAGTGTGAATAATTATTCAGGTGGAGCTGTGGGGTTAAATACCAATGAAGCTCCACACATGAATAATGATTCCACCCCTTTCTGCGTTTTAATGCTCTATTTCGTAGGGATTATCCGTCTGCTGGTGGAAGAAACGAATAGGTACTACCATCAGCACGTAGACAGACGTCAAGACGGACCTTCTCCGCGGCCTGACGTGACCGAATCCGAGATGTTTCTGTTTCTAGAAATAATCATTCAAATGGGACATGACAATAGAGGCAGACTAAAGGACTACTGGTCGACTCTAGAACAATTTGCCACGCCTTTCTACTCTTAGACAATGAAACGCGACCGTTTTCTACACATTCTTCGTTTTCTTCATTTTGCAGACAACAGTACAGAAATTGACAGGAATGCCGACAGTTATGACCGACTATAGAAAATTCGGACCATCTTCGACACTCTCAAAGACGCATTTGAAAAATATTATAACCCTTCCGAACATTTGGCTATTGACGAAATAACTGTAAAATACAAAGGGAGGGTGGTTTTTAGGCAGTACATTCCTAAGAAACACAAACGTTTCGGAATCAAAATCTTCAAAATTTGTGACGCCGCTGGATATACTTATGACATGAAAGTTTACCTAGGAAAAGACAGGACACGTGCCAGCCAAGACGTGACAGCGACACATGCTACAGTTAGGGACCTATGCAGACGTATTGAGGGCGTAGGTCACAAACTGTACATGGACAATTTCTTTTCTTCACTCGACTTGTTTGACGAACTGATGACAAAGAACATAACGTGCTGTGGGACAGTCAGACCTAATCGGAAGGGCTTGCCTGACGATTTTCGACGAAGACAATTTCGACTGAAGAAAGGGGACATTCGTGTTAGGGTGAGACAGAACTTGACAGCACTAGTTTGGAAGGACAAACGTGACGTTTACATGCTGACAAATATGCACTCTCCTCCAGCAGAAGGCAGTTTCTGTGATGAGCATGGAAATGCCATCAAGCCAGCAATTGTTGCTAACTACAACAAGCACATGGGTTATGTCGACAAAGCGGACACAATGGCAAACATTTATAGCATCTGTGGTCGAACCTGGAAATGGACAAATAAATTGTTTTTCCATCTCCTGGATCTGACGATTCTGAACAGTTATATCCTGTTGTCATCCTGTGGCGCGAAATTGTCACACAGAGAATTTCGTCTCGCCCTTGTGAGGAACATGCTGGAGCATGCTGGAAGGGCCCCCCCTCGCCCTCAAAGGCCCAGGGGTCGAACACCTGCCGTTTCATCGGGGTCATTTCGAATAGAGGAGTCCAAACAAGAGCACTGGTCGACTTCCTCTACTTCGAAATTGAGATGTCGAGTGTGCTCTACGCCTGGGAAACGAAGAACCGTCCGGATAAAGTGCGTGAAGTGTGATGTGGGACTCTGCATTTCCGGATGTTTCCAAGATTTCCACACGAAGCCAACATTCCGTTAGACGACGCCGGTGGGAAGAGAGGCAACTTATAAAGATGGTGACCAAAAATCATGTTAGAAANAGGCTCTTAAAGGTTAAATTAGAGGCCATCTTCAATCATTTTCTGACGGAATGAGTCAACACTTATATTCATGGCATTCAACAAGTACTGCAAAGAAGACCAGAAGTACAGTGTTCAAACATGCACATTTTGCAGAAAATATAAATTACATGCTAACAGCAATTTTCAAGTAATTTCATCATAAGCTCAAATATTTTAAGTACTTGTTCTGATGAGTTTTCAATTATTATTGAGAATAAAATACTTCAGTGATCATCATGTATGTTCAGAAGATCAATAGTGATTGCTGAATATAAAAGTTAGGAAAAATGCATAAAGCAACAACTTCCTGGACACCTTAACACTTATGCAATAAGTGTACTGGGTATAAAACATGCTTCAGTTTTCTACAGCTTTTGTACAAAACATTCTTTGCTCTGATAATTACACAGTGAATTATACCTGAGACATATGAAGTGCACGTATGCCTTCATGTGAAGTGTGCTACTTTTACTGTTTAACTAAAACTGGAATGTGCTGACAAATTGTAGTAAAATTCAACAACAAATTTCATGAATATCCATTTGGCAGTTCTCGTGCTCTTTCGTGTATGCAAATGGACAGAGTAATTTTAATAGGTCTTCTTCAGGGTTCAACACAAACCTAGAAGTGGTACTATAATGGTATAGCACATTTATACATTACAAAGAACTGACTGTACATTTCTGTGAGAAAACACAGAAATCTTTTCAAGGCAATATGAACTTTGTAGTATTTCAAATAAAGCCTCTATTTATCTTTGCAAGAATTCTGCCCTGTACATGTAGCAAGTGAACACAAACAGTTGTGGCTGAAATGTATAACACGGAATACACCCTGATTGTTCCTCAACTTGCTTTATTGACTGCAGCTAAGAGACAAACAAAATTCATAGATTACACCTGTCTTCTTCTAGTGTGATTTCTATTTCATGCAGAAATTCTCCAATTTCCCATTTAAGATTAAACTTGTTCCTCCAGCTTATAAGTGCTCTTTAACCCTTAAACTGCTGTGGTCAACATATGTCTGAAAAACATGGCGTCCTTGCTGCGATCAACAAACCCTGTATTGCAACTTTATAGACTTTCAAATCTCAAGTTTCTTTGCACCAATCTCATTCAAACTTGGGAGGTGCAAACATTCATCTATTGGGAACATAATGAAGCATCATTCATTTCAATGGCTGCATTCTTTTGCCCTCTAGCTTAAGAAATGTAAAAGGTTGCATCTGCACAGCGTTGCACATGCTCCATGGTCATGTGACACGGGTATTTCACAGGGCTAGTATAAATGACTTCGTATAGTGTGCGGTGCTTTCTACATTAATTTTAAATAAAGTTGTGGACTTTGGTCAATATGTGACATGGTGATAAGACTAGGATTGTGAATTATGTATGTTTTTGGCCATCTTGGACAACCCTGATTTAAATGGACTTTTCCCCTGTGAAAAATAATGAATAATTCAACATTTTTGCAACTTCTGCCTGTTCCCTGTCTGAGGTAAGATTAGTTACATTTTATTACAAATTTTCATACTTTGCACTTAAATTATTTATAAACGATTTATTAAAAAATAATTCAGCACAGAGGGTACTGAGAGTTACTTAACACAGTAGCAGTGAAAGGGTTAAACAGAATTTATTATTACAATGCATTCATATACATGGAGGCAATGAGACAACATACACCTGGTGGTACTAAAAAGGGGCGAGGGTCAAAAATTAATACATGTATGATATATACTCACATACAAACCATGCTGAACACACCAAAGAATGCATACATGATTTATTCAGTTCTGGTGACTCTTTGCACAGAAAAATATTTTTCATTCTGAATGCTAAAAATTTTTTACATTCATATCACCCATACAGTCGCCACCAATTTTTCAAATTTAAATACAACAGATTATGTTTGGAAAGAAGTTGTATAGTTAGTGTACAGAAGGCCGCGCCATAGCTCAAGCGGTTACTCGCTGGCTTCCCACTGCGGCGGCTCGGGCTTGATCCCGGGTCTGGTCAAGTGGGATTTGTGGTGGACAAAGTGGCGCTGGGGCAGGTTTTCTCAGAGTACTTCGGTTTCCCCTGCCAATCTTCATTCCACCAATTGCTCCACAATCACCCTCACCTATCATCTGGGGCTGGTAGTGGCAGCAGTGCAAGGGACTTAGTCCCACCCCACTAGCAATAAAAAATTGTGTATAGAAACCAGACAAAAACGTTTCAGTTCCTGGGGTTACTTATGCAAATAACTGAAAATATGTAACCTCCTGTGTCACAAGACAGCATCTGAACAACTACAAACCAAATGGAGGGGGGAACAAGTTCAAGCCACCAAGAAAACTGGGGTCTTATTCAATATTGCTATTGATAAAAAATGTGACTCAATTAAAAATGAAATGCCAATTTTGATGTTCAAACAGAAAATAATTTTGTAATGGGTCAATAAAACTGAATAAATCATTTTGGACAAATACAGCTATGTTGAAACTACCATTTCTGCTCACATGATATACACATTGTAGCACGCAGACCCGTTACTAGGTACTGATTGCAAACTAACAGGTTCCCACAGCAATGAATCAACACGCAACAATGGAGGAACTGTTGGAAGTGCTGTTTTCTGTGGTCTGTGCCACAGCCATGTCTCTGGAGCAACAGTTGAAGTACAAGAATAGAAGAGCTGTTTCCTATATGGTCCATGCCCAAGGGGTTATAAGCGGGACAAGTTGCAGCTCTATTCAGTCTGTGAAGAGAATACTAGGTCAGTGAGATGGCCGCAAGCCTGAGAGTTAGTAAGTTGAATCAATAAGTCAGTCTGTGAAGAAATGACTAGGAGGCTGGTGTGAGATGGCCACCAGCCTGGGAGTTAGTCAGCTGAAGCACTGAGTCAGTTGTGAGATGGTAGCCAGTCAGCAATAGCATGAGCGCAGAAGCTGAAGAATATCCACTGTTAGAAGCCGTTGCCAGAAAATGACTAGTGAAGAGATTGCAGGCTGTAAAACAATTAGTGTGTGCTCTAATCATTTGTAAAGCGTCGAGATTAGCGATGGCATTATAATTACTGGTAGTTACAAGTCACGTGTATAAGTGGTCAATAAATCAAGTCACAAATCCAAACCCTGCCTGCAGTCACTCATACACGTGACCATTGCTTATAAAAAAAAACTGTAGATGCTGACTGAAAAGAATGGAGACAATGTTCTCTTCACAGAAAAAAATATATAAGCATTTGAAAGAGCATATGAAGTGGTACAAACTCTGACCACGCATGTAAAGTTCCTTTCAAGCCATGCTCTACCAACATATTCACAAAATTATGTTCATGAGCGCACACACACACATGCGTGCGCGCAAACAACAAAACATCTGCTGGAGGGTCAATATTAAGAAAGTAAATAAATTATCATACTTATCTTCTTATAAATCATTCAGTCACATGTTGCACAAGTTTCACATTCAATCACCAACAGTATTTATATCTCTTCCTGGGCAAGCCTACATTCTTGCCAGTTAATAATTTAATTTTCCTCCTGAAATACATCACTGACCTATAGATCTCACCTCATCAACCAATGCACTATGCAGCATATGGCCGCACCATAGCTCAAGTGGTTAGTGGCTGGCTTCCCACTGCGGCAGCCCGGGTTCGATCCCGGGATTTGTGATGGACAAAGTGGTGTTGGGGCAGGATTTCTCTGAGTATTTCGGTTCCCCTGCTAATCTTCATTCCACCAATTGCTCCACAATCACCCTCACCTATCATCTAGGGCCGGTACAAGAGGCCAGAAGTGGCCGCAGTGCAAGAGACTTAGCCCCACCCCACTACCAATAAAAAAAAAAAGGATCAGCATACAGAAATATACATGAATATTATTACCCCCATTTAATGTTCCTCATTTTAAGGTTGTCCTTTGCTCGTAGTTCAATCTCAATGCTGTCTAGTCAATAACCCCACAGATACTTACCTCTATTCAAGATTTTCCTCAGCTTAGAGTTCAAATCCACAATCAAAAGAAATCTTAAGAAGTTGTGTCACTGTATACAAAGGAAAAGAGAAAGAATACAAACTAAACACTACTAAACCAACACTAACACTAATACTGGAGCAATCAACACCCACAGTTCAGAAGCACTGGCTGTAACTTTCGTCAAAGATGAGCATCCCTGAATGCTCTCACCCTGCCTCACTTCGATGCATGGCGCATTTAAACAGAAATGCTCTTTTGGGAGGGTATGCTATACATCAGTGACAATAGGGTAGGAAAGGCGTGAAAGCAACATACCACTGAGGGATGATGGGGGGACTAAGGGGAAGCTGGTATAGCAATACAGAAGAACTCACTGCAGATAAAAGTGATTTAAGAGATGCAGCTGTAACCTTTACTACTTACATCCTGACTAAGGCGATGACTAGTGTACATCACAGTACCATCAAAGATGTAACTGCCTAACACAGCCTGGTGGTTACGCAATAATGCTTTGCGTATACGTGTCCTGTCCTCTTCAGGAGCAAAATCGACACGGTACTGGTACAAACACCAATCTGTGTGAGTTTCCAATCTGAAGTAATTAGCCTTTAGCATCACCTGTTGACCTGATGTACCTGTTACAAAATAACACAAGCTATCAACTGTTCTTTCAGTCATTATCTGAAGCCTGGTAACAAACTGGGGAATACTGAACAATGTTCCATTTTAAGAAAGCCATATCTGTGAGTCTCACACCATAATATTCCTCCACAAAACCAGTAAACTTCTATGAGACTATATAGCGTCACATCATAACAAACAGCACTCTTCTTAGTCACTGTAGTGAGAATGACTAGTAAGTAACCTAGAAATATTAAGTTTTGAGGTTTTCCTGTCATTGATTGTACAGATTTTGGTCCTCTGTGTTGCACCTCTTTCTTACCCCCTCTCTTGGGTCTCAGTGACCACATTCCTTGCAACATGTCAATATACAATTAGCCTCTTTCTCAACTTACACACATGCCAAACTTGAAGATGACCTTTGCTTGATACTCTGAAACATCAATATCCACCTACACAGCCACACTGTATCATAACCCAGTGACTGTTTCTCAGTCACTTCTGACCCACAACTTAAAGTCAGCATGTAAGTTATTGCTAGAACTACATTTTACATCTGACAATGAGTGACTTCTTTAATGATTAGTGTTGAAAATAACTGTTCTACCCCTCTTCCTTCCCAGTAATTTAATGACAAGCTGTGCAGAATAGTAAGGAATGAAAACACATGGTTTGCAATATCAGATATGGGGAAGCAGAGCCAGGCCACAAAACCATGTTCTAAGATGACGTATATATCTAACAAATTACAGAGAAACGATGATAAGAGTATGGTTTATAGCAACAAAAACCAATGCAACATCAATTTATTGACTTTCAACAGACTACATGGCATTATTATCTCAGAAGATAGGACTCTTATATTTCAATTCATTTCCAGAGCCAAAGCAGTAACCACCATTCATTCTCAGCGCTTCAGGGGCATGTGACTTGAATATGACACACAAGACATTTTTTTATGCTCAAAATTAGATAAACCAAGGCATGTTTGTCCAGGTCAGAGATTCACATAAATAAGACTGAACTCGAATCCAAGTATAAAAATTCTACTTTTAATAAGCAATATTCTACTATTATACCAGGCATTACAAATAAAAATTTACATTAACACAAAAACGGCTTACAAATAAAATCCTACTTCTGAAAAAT